CGTTACGTTATCTTAAGGTTTTTGAGTACATATCTGTTTCTGTGAGGGCACGAAGTTGCTAATTCATTACGTTTGTTGAGGCTACATAGGTCTTTCCTGCAGATTATTAGAAATTTTTCGTAAAGACATAAACTGCATTTTTTAGTTACGTTGTTGTAAGGCTTGGATTTTCTGAGGACTTTCCAACCAACCTAGGAAAGAAGTTCCTCCACATAGTCAACACAGCCCCAACACAACAACCCAACAAACAGTGCAACTGCCGAACAAAAGACGAATGCCCCCTTCAAGGTAAATGTCTTGAAACGAACGTGGTATACCAAGCAACCGTAACAACCGACACAGAAACAGAATCATACGTAGGACTCGCAACAAACTTCAAAGAACGTTTCAGAAATCATACAACATCCTTCCGACACGTCAACAAAAGAAACAGCACCGAACTGTCAAAACATGTATGGAAACTGAAAGACGCCAAGAAACCATTCAATATAGCATGGAAAGTCCTCAGAAAATCCAAGCCTTACAACAACGTAACTAAAAAATGCAGTTTATGTCTTTACGAAAAATTTAACTTTCTTTTTTAACTTACAGGCACGAAACCGAAACACGCTTCCACGATGCACACGAGGGAATTATTGCTGGACTGTGGCACTTAATCAAGGAAAGAATGCATGCGGGATTAGAAGAAGAAGCCCTGTTCAATGGCGAGTTACAGAGCAGTCGCTTTCTGTACGAAGGGTTTAAAGCCAGCAGGTTTGTAGGGAAGATCCACTTGCAGAATGGCGGGCAAGGGACGGGTACTATGATCTCCAAACGGCTCCTCCTTACTGCCTCACATGTTTTCAAGACTTGTAAGAAGGGCGAGGTCACATTCGAGAGAATCGATCCTCACAGCAGTGCTTACCAAATGCCCAAAGAGACCATCTTTAAGCTTGAACCAGAAAAGTTCTTTCTCGCCCATCCGGAAGTGTCGATCGACGTCGCTTTTGTGGCCGTGTCTGAGAGATCCGTTGACGGCAAATCCAGTCTGAGTGACATCGGTTACTGTGAAAGGGCTATCCGCTCTGAGCAGCCAGGTACCCACGTGAACATAATACAATTTCCTCGGAACAGCAAGCAGATGGTGGTTCTACGTCAAAATCAGGTCCTAAATTCCCACGATAGCTACTTGCAGCTCTTCGACAAAGCCTTTGTCGAGCATCACCGCTACAAAGTGCATCGATCTGCAGCTAAAAAGCGCAGCTGGTTTCAACCCCTGAAAAAGGCGAATTGTGAATTCAATTTGCCGTTCTTGCGCTATACTGCCGACACCGACGGTGGCTCTTCGGGAAGTCCTTGTTTTGACGACATGTGGAATTTAATCGGCATCCATCAATGCGCTCTCTCTGTTGAAAGGAAATCTGGCGGGTTCAAGTACATCGCTAATGAAGGTGTCAAAATTGGCACTATTATCGACTGGGTGAAGGAAGAACTTGAAAAAAATGAACATGAAGGATTTCGTGAATTATTTGAAGGATTTCCACTGGACTGACGAAGCAAACATTTACAACCATATCCCGGCAATCTTACATTGTATACCCCTTGCAAGCAAGAATCCCTCTCAGGATATGCCGATCCATGAAAATATAGTTTTCAACAATATATAATGTTTGCAAGTTTAACGATCGTCCTCACAGTATAGTTTAGTCGCACAGATGTTTTATCCCGGTCTGTGGCGNTTTTTCTTGGGGGGAAGGGGGGTGGGGGTGGGGGAACCGTGACTCGACATATTATAATTCACTTAATATATATAAGTAAGCCTTCAGGAAAGGAATATTTTTGTAAGATGGCTATTTTTTTTAGTATTAACAGCCCTTTTTTCATATATATAAAATTCCCAATTATGATTTTCGCTGTTTTGAATCAAGATTTCTGATCGTTGTGTTGCCTCGCAGGAATTCAGTTCCGAGGTTAGCAGCAAAATGAGTCGACAACGTTTGTTTGTTTGTTTGTTTTTTTACGATAGAGCTTCATTACACCTACGACTATTGGTAATAACAAGACGTCAAATATATGCCATTTCCAAGTTACCTTGTGTCTCTGTTTCAAAACGAAACCTCCAACAAACTTTTCATATGAACTGAATGAATTTGATATGCATGAAAATGAACACATTTTCAAATGAATGGTCGTTTTGACACAGAGGCACAAGGTAACTCCGAAACGGTCTATTGTAGACACTTTTTTATGCGATGGTTTGGCTTAAAGAAATCAGTATAAGACACTGCGTATTGTATTCATATAACTCTTACCAGATGTCAGCTTATACACTATTTCATATTAATTTTTTCAAAATGACTGTAGATATGTAGTGAGTAAGGGCTGTTGTTTTATCAGTACAATGTACGTTTCCTTTGAACTTAAACTGAAAGGCAGCTTGGCTTATATTAGATTTAAAAAAAATACGATAAACCACGAATATTGCAGGAATCTGTAACGCAGTGCCATTAAATCATTATTAAACTAGTAATTAATGTACAAAAGATTAACTTTTGTTGTTTGTTTGTGTCGCTTTTGGCCCTGCAGGCCACATTTCAGTAAGCTGTACAGATGACCATTAAACCTTGCATTCTGCCAGTTCATCCCGTTGCAAAGATTTGTGGCAGCGGCGGAATGCTTTATTTTGTACAGGTGCACATGGTAATTACTTAATGTAATCACCTAACCTCTCTCCTGCGCTCCGCAGAAGTTCGTTACAGAAGCCGCTCTGCGAGGTGAGTGCAGGGGCAAAGTCGAATGCATCGATCTGCTCAGCGGATTCTCCCCACCCAAAAGTAACCCTTTGAACGTCTGCGGAGGAGAAAGCAACTGCCACATTATACATTAATCCTGATAAAGCAATGTGTCGTTTGTCCTCATGTAGTTTAGACATAGCCATTTAGATAAACAAAGAAACTCAGAAGCAAAACTCGACTTGGAATACACGGCTTGTATCTTCTTTCCTGGGGAGTTTGGCATTTCTAATTCTCCTCTTCCGCGCAGGTCTATCTTTCCTTGGAATTTTCACCCCCTTCAATGAGTTCAATCCCAGCCTCGCACCCCTTCTCGACAGTTCCATCACAAGTTCTTCCAAGCATATTTCATGTTGCTCTCACATTTTACATCTGGCAGGAGAGTGGAACTGCGCGCGTGAAATGCCGTGCACCAAATCCTAACATACGGAACTCAGCCAGTTGCTGAAGCCCTTGGCTTCAGGAAAGTCGTGAAGTTTCTTTCACCTGTCACTAAATCATGGTACATTCTCACAATGCACTTTTGTGAGACGGTCATGTAGTGTCAATACACAGGAATCAGGCGCTCAAGGCTACTTCTGTGAAGGAAAAAAAAAAAGATTAAAAAAATACTGAGAAAAAATATATATATCCCTAACAGTACAGAAGACAATAGCTAACAATGTGATCACTATTTAACAACTATTCCATTCGACCTCACAGCAGATGCATGAGCACACAGCCAACCATGAACCATGGGCTGCAATTTCTGCGGAAATAAACCTTTTCTTTCTCCGTCCTGATTGTAAATTAGATGGCATGACGTAAACAAGTTTAATGGAGCTCTTGCTACATAAGAAATTATTTGTACTATTCCAGGACCTTGATGAGATGGGAAATAATATGAAAAAGTATCACTGCATGTTGGAAAGTAACAACGAGAAGATAAGTGCAAATCAAATGAGCCTTAATGTGCCCGCAGTCCATTTACAGGTGCAGCAATCACAACTGGCCAGTTACAGAGCGCTACAAAAGACCTTTTGCAGGAACTCCAAACTAGACCATGTTATGATCCTATTTTTATCAACGATCTAATTGGACTGATGCCTCGAAAGATGCCCGCTATCATTACGTATCTACTCTTTTGGAAAACGGACTCCCGGGCGTGTCATTTGAAGTTTTGAAGTATTCTCCTGGAGGAAGTTGTAAGACATGCGTCTTCCGTTGGAAGGTCTCCAATGAAGGCACAGATCGACAAAAGTCAGACAGAGTCGCCGCGGTTCTCAAACAAGATATGCCAACGTTCCATACTAGAGCTATGAAGGCAAGCGCGCAGTCGAGGATTTCGCACCAGGTTTGGAAGTGTGGCCAAGATTACGCCTGCAATTCGAAGAGCTGTTTATCGTTTTCTTACTGACGATAGTTCAGCAAATGACAATGCCATTTCAAAAGCTCTAGACATCAGAATGGCAGTTCCAATTAATCCTGAGGATCCGGATCTAGCGCTCGATTTGCGAGAAATGAATGACGGTCGTCCAGAGAAGTATGAGGTGTTCTGGGAAGCCTTAGGCTCTTATCTAGTGGAGCACACGGCAGCTCAAGAAAGGCGACATGGAGATGCGGGATACATGCCCGTAGCCAGTTAAATCATACGAGCGATACCAAAATCGGACGACCGCGCAGCGGGAGTCCGATTTGTTTATCCCGAGTATGATTACAGACCGAATTGGACGACACGAAGTCTTATTACCAATTATCATAAAAATTACAGTTTCCGAGAAAAGAAGAATAGCCAAGTTATGAAAGTAAGGGAAAATTTGCTTTAAAAGACTGACAAAGGAGGCGTAAATTATTTAAAGTCGTTCTGATAACAATTGGGTTGTGATTGGTTAAACTACGACTTTGAATGTGATTGGTTGATTTAAACTACAACTTTGAATGTGATTAGTTCGTTGAACTGTCCGATAACAAACTGTCCGATAACAACTTGTCAAGGGCTGTTCCGACTTCTGAACACGTGGAGTGCGGAGTTAGCATTGCACGTTTAGGAAAAAAGAAAAGAACAATCCAGTTCACACGGCTTGTATGCAAACCTGTATACAAACGTGTGTGTCAATGTTATCCATTAACTACGCTGGCCTTGGGTCACGCAACAAGGAGTCTCTCGAACATCTTCCCCTCCCAAATTGAGAGTCTACGAACTCAAAATTCGCATACGAAACAAAAACTAAAAATGAATAAATATAGTTCCATGCAATGGTATTCAATCAATGTTGAAAGTTCGGTCGTGGTCTCTAATGGAGAAATTCTTGTGATTGGTCTCCTGAAGACCTTGTCGCCAATCGGTACATCAACAACTCTCAGAAGCCTGTCACTGCCTGGGTACGTGCACTCGATCATGCAGACGCCAGCTGTCAAACGCGTCAAATTGATAATTACAAAAGGGACCAGTGGCAACTTCGCAATCACGTGCTTATCAGCCGCTAATGTTGCCACTCGGGTGGTGAAGAGCGTTATCACTTGACCTACTTGGCCGTGGTCAACGCGCGTGTTTGCAAGAATGTTTTCATCCGCAACGTGTTTGGTGAGACTTTCAGTCTCTGGAAAACGCTCCTCGAGTACCGAGGTCAAAATTTCTTCGAAGACACCGTCAGAAACATAATCCATGTCGAACACAGGCGAATCTTGAACGTGTATAAACTGAGAACTGAAGTATTTTGCAAACAAATTCCTTCCCTGGTATGGATTAGTCTCCTCCGCAGCCGTTTTTTGGGATGTCACGCAACGCTCCCCCAAAGAAACGCCTGCTCACATCCGAACCACATTCTTTTCCTTTTGTGTTTGTGGTTTGTCTGCGCTCTGTTGAACAGACTAACCACATAATAGCAAAGTGTAAATGACGTAAGCTTTCGCGCGAAACGGCCTGCGGTGCGAACACGCCAGGGATTTCTGGCTTTTGTTTCACGCCGCACCGCACGTCGCCAAAAATAGGCGGTGTTCGCAGGCTGCGATCATGACGGACGAATAAAAGATAAAAATGAAAACCCTAAGTGCTTCATGTGCTCATCGCTATATTGGTTGCGTGGAATGTATCCACTACCATCGACCGAGCAATTTTGAATTGAGTGTCGCAAAACCAAAACAAAGGGAGCCCCAAACAGACGCAACAGACAAAAGCAACGCAATGAACCAATCATAATCGGAAGCCAATACACAGGGTAAAACGCGTTCGAGCAAGTCGCGGTTGTTCTTGGTTTAGTTTCTGATTGATTGATTGATTGATTGATTGATTGATTGATTGATTGATTGATTGATTGATTGATTGATTGATTGATTGATTGATTGAGAAAGTGGTGCGAGATTTAGTGCCAATCGAAAAGCGTATAGGAATGTAAAACAAAGCATTAGTGAAAGGGGCTGTCAAAGAGCTCACGTATTTATTTCCGCTCGCCATCTCCTTTGCTCCACTCCGACAGCACCCCAAACTTCCTTCAAAATGTGTAGTGATATTACGGAAGGACGTTACATCATTGAAAACGTCGAGACACAGCGTTTCTTGTTCCAACAGGGACCAGAGATTAAAGGTAAACGCGGAGATGAAGGAGGTTGGAAGGCTTCTTCTGGCTTTGAGTCACCGTCAGTCATGGGAGCAGATGCAAACTACTATAATCGAGCCCACTGGAAGATAATTCCACAAGGCAATGGCGTATACTTGATCGAAAACGAGGAGACACGGCGCTATTTGTTTCAGGACGGGCCAAAGATTAAGGGCAATCGTGGAGATGAAGGAGGTTGGAAGGCTTCTTCGGGATTTGAGTCACCGTCAGTCGTCGGAGTAGATGCTAACTACTACAATCTTGCTCTCTGGAAGATAATTCCAAAAGGCGACGACAAATACTTCATTGAAAATGCCGAAACCGAGAGGTATTTGTTTCAGGATGGGCCGAAGATTCAAGGCAATCGTGGAGATGAAAAAGGTTGGAAGGCTTCTTCAGGATTTGAGGCACCTTCCGTGGTAGGGGCGGATGCCAACTACTACAATCGGGCCCACTGGAAATTGCTGAAACAATAGAATAAGAAAAAGGACGTGAACTGTTTGCTTTAGGGTTTCCTTGATTTTTCCTTGTATTTCTTATAGATGGTGTCGGTGTTGTTGGGGTAGTTTAAATCATTTTAAAAAAGTGAAGGTTTGTCAGCATAATTAACCCGATACCTCCGTTGGAAGAATTCTCACCAGAATTAGAGCCGCAGATTCGGTATTGCCCATACAGAGCACAGAATTTAGATAGTGTCTGGTAATAGTCAATTGTATTTTCATATCACGCTATGCGAATTCTTTCCGCTTCGGCAAAGCGTGACAACTTACACAATACATAGACAGTAGATCACGCACTGATTTTAAATGCATCAAAAACCATATTGTGAGCCGAAATATTAGCGCCAGGTCATACAAAATTAAAGAGTTTAGCAATTCAAGAATTGACCACAGCATTATTGTATTTCCGTGGAATGTATAAGGTATTGATGTATTAGGAACTTGAGTTCAGGACGGAATTTATTTAGATCTTGAGAGTGGAACATTGTGAACGAGATCGTGAAGGAGGAATAAACGCATTTATTGGATACATACAGTCCTCTTGATTGGAACCAACGTTGTGAGTACCCTGGTCCCAGAGATTTTTCTTGATTTTTCTTCTTTTCGCGAAGCGGCGAGAAAGAAAAACCTCTGGTTACATTCGTCTTGTATCACTTCCATGCAGACGCCAGCTGTCAAACGCGTCAAATTGATAATTACAAAAGGGACCAGTGGCAACTTCGCAATCACGTGCTTATCAGCCGCTAATGTTGCCACTCGGGTGGTGAAGAGCGTTATCACTTGACCTACTTGGCCGTGGTCAACGCGCGTGTTTGCAAGAATGTTTTCATCCGCAACGTGTTTGGTGAGACTTTCAGTCTCTGGAAAACGCTCCTCGAGTACCGAGGTCAAAATTTCTTCGAAGACACCGTCAGAAACATAATCCATGTCGAACACAGGCGAATCTTGAACGTGTATAAACTGAGAACTGAAGTATTTTGCAAACAAATTCCTTCCCTGGTATGGATTAGTCTCCTCCGCAGCCGTTTTTTGGGATGTCACGCAACGCTCCCCCAAAGAAACGCCTGCTCACATCCGAACCACATTCTTTTCCTTTTGTGTTTGTGGTTTGTCTGCGCTCTGTTGAACAGACCAATCACATAATAGCAAAGTGTAAATGACGTAAGCTTTCGCGCGAAACGGCCTGCGGTGCGAACACGCCAGGGATTTCTGGCTTTTGTTTCACGCCGCACCGCACGTCGCCAAAAATAGGCGGTGTTCGCAGGCTGCGATCATGACGGACGAATAAAAGATAAAAATGAAAACCCTAAGTGCTTCATGTGCTCATCGCTATATTGGTTGCGTGGAATGTATCCACTACCATCGACCGAGCAATTTTGAATTGAGTGTCGCAAAACCAAAACAAAGGGAGCCCCAAACAGACGCAACAGACAAAAGCAACGCAATGAACCAATCATAATCGGAAGCCAATACACAGGGTAAAACGCGTTCGAGCAAGTCGCGGTTGTTCTTGGTTTAGTTTCTGATTGATTGATTGATTGATTGATTGATTGATTGATTGATTGATTGATTGATTGATTGATTGATTGATTGATTGATTGATTGAGAAAGTGGTGCGAGATTTAGTGCCAATCGAAAAGCGTATAGGAATGTAAAACAAAGCATTAGTGAAAGGGGCTGTCAAAGAGCTCACGTATTTATTTCCGCTCGCCATCTCCTTTGCTCCACTCCGACAGCACCCCAAACTTCCTTCAAAATGTGTAGTGATATTACGGAAGGACGTTACATCATTGAAAACGTCGAGACACAGCGTTTCTTGTTCCAACAGGGACCAGAGATTAAAGGTAAACGCGGAGATGAAGGAGGTTGGAAGGCTTCTTCTGGCTTTGAGTCACCGTCAGTCATGGGAGCAGATGCAAACTACTATAATCGAGCCCACTGGAAGATAATTCCACAAGGCAATGGCGTATACTTGATCGAAAACGAGGAGACACGGCGCTATTTGTTTCAGGACGGGCCAAAGATTAAGGGCAATCGTGGAGATGAAGGAGGTTGGAAGGCTTCTTCGGGATTTGAGTCACCGTCAGTCGTCGGAGTAGATGCTAACTACTACAATCTTGCTCTCTGGAAGATAATTCCAAAAGGCGACGACAAATACTTCATTGAAAATGCCGAAACCGAGAGGTATTTGTTTCAGGATGGGCCGAAGATTCAAGGCAATCGTGGAGATGAAAAAGGTTGGAAGGCTTCTTCAGGATTTGAGGCACCTTCCGTGGTAGGGGCGGATGCCAACTACTACAATCGGGCCCACTGGAAATTGCTGAAACAATAGAATAAGAAAAAGGACGTGAACTGTTTGCTTTAGGGTTTCCTTGATTTTTCCTTGTATTTCTTATAGATGGTGTCGGTGTTGTTGGGGTAGTTTAAATCATTTTAAAAAAGTGAAGGTTTGTCAGCATAATTAACCCGATACCTCCGTTGGAAGAATTCTCACCAGAATTAGAGCCGCAGATTCGGTATTGCCCATACAGAGCACAGAATTTAGATAGTGTCTGGTAATAGTCAATTGTATTTTCATATCACGCTATGCGAATTCTTTCCGCTTCGGCAAAGCGTGACAACTTACACAATACATAGACAGTAGATCACGCACTGATTTTAAATGCATCAAAAACCATATTGTGAGCCGAAATATTAGCGCCAGGTCATACAAAATTAAAGAGTTTAGCAATTCAAGAATTGACCACAGCATTATTGTATTTCCGTGGAATGTATAAGGTATTGATGTATTAGGAACTTGAGTTCAGGACGGAATTTATTTAGATCTTGAGAGTGGAACATTGTGAACGAGATCGTGAAGGAGGAATAAACGCATTTATTGGATACATACAGTCCTCTTGATTGGAACCAACGTTGTGAGTACCCTGGTCCCAGAGATTTTTCTTGATTTTTCTTCTTTTCGCGAAGCGGCGAGAAAGAAAAACCTCTGGTTACATTCGTCTTGTATCACTTCCATGCAGACGCCAGCTGTCAAACGCGTCAAATTGATAATTACAAAAGGGACCAGTGGCAACTTCGCAATCACGTGCTTATCAGCCGCTAATGTTGCCACTCGGGTGGTGAAGAGCGTTATCACTTGACCTACTTGGCCGTGGTCAACGCGCGTGTTTGCAAGAATGTTTTCATCCGCAACGTGTTTGGTGAGACTTTCAGTCTCTGGAAAACGCTCCTCGAGTACCGAGGTCAAAATTTCTTCGAAGACACCGTCAGAAACATAATCCATGTCGAACACAGGCGAATCTTGAACGTGTATAAACTGAGAACTGAAGTATTTTGCAAACAAATTCCTTCCCTGGTATGGATTAGTCTCCTCCGCAGCCGTTTTTTGGGATGTCACGCAACGCTCCCCCAAAGAAACGCCTGCTCACATCCGAACCACATTCTTTTCCTTTTGTGTTTGTGGTTTGTCTGCGCTCTGTTGAACAGACCAATCACATAATAGCAAAGTGTAAATGACGTAAGCTTTCGCGCGAAACGGCCTGCGGTGCGAACACGCCAGGGATTTCTGGCTTTTGTTTCACGCCGCACCGCACGTCGCCAAAAATAGGCGGTGTTCGCAGGCTGCGATCATGACGGACGAATAAAAGATAAAAATGAAAACCCTAAGTGCTTCATGTGCTCATCGCTATATTGGTTGCGTGGAATGTATCCACTACCATCGACCGAGCAATTTTGAATTGAGTGTCGCAAAACCAAAACAAAGGGAGCCCCAAACAGACGCAACAGACAAAAGCAACGCAATGAACCAATCATAATCGGAAGCCAATACACAGGGTAAAACGCGTTCGAGCAAGTCGCGGTTGTTCTTGGTTTAGTTTCTGATTGATTGATTGATTGATTGATTGAGAAAGTGGTGCGAGATTTAGTGCCAATCGAAAAGCGTATAGGAATGTAAAACAAAGCATTAGTGAAAGGGGCTGTCAAAGAGCTCACGTATTTATTTCCGCTCGCCATCTCCTTTGCTCCACTCCGACAGCACCCCAAACTTCCTTCAAAATGTGTAGTGATATTACGGAAGGACGTTACATCATTGAAAACGTCGAGACACAGCGTTTCTTGTTCCAACAGGGACCAGAGATTAAAGGTAAACGCGGAGATGAAGGAGGTTGGAAGGCTTCTTCTGGCTTTGAGTCACCGTCAGTCATGGGAGCAGATGCAAACTACTATAATCGAGCCCACTGGAAGATAATTCCACAAGGCAATGGCGTATACTTGATCGAAAACGAGGAGACACGGCGCTATTTGTTTCAGGACGGGCCAAAGATTAAGGGCAATCGTGGAGATGAAGGAGGTTGGAAGGCTTCTTCGGGATTTGAGTCACCGTCAGTCGTCGGAGTAGATGCTAACTACTACAATCTTGCTCTCTGGAAGATAATTCCAAAAGGCGACGACAAATACTTCATTGAAAATGCCGAAACCGAGAGGTATTTGTTTCAGGATGGGCCGAAGATTCAAGGCAATCGTGGAGATGAAAAAGGTTGGAAGGCTTCTTCAGGATTTGAGGCACCTTCCGTGGTAGGGGCGGATGCCAACTACTACAATCGGGCCCACTGGAAATTGCTGAAACAATAGAATAAGAAAAAGGACGTGAACTGTTTGCTTTAGGGTTTCCTTGATTTTTCCTTGTATTTCTTATAGATGGTGTCGGTGTTGTTGGGGTAGTTTAAATCATTTTAAAAAAGTGAAGGTTTGTCAGCATAATTAACCCGATACCTCCGTTGGAAGAATTCTCACCAGAATTAGAGCCGCAGATTCGGTATTGCCCATACAGAGCACAGAATTTAGATAGTGTCTGGTAATAGTCAATTGTATTTTCATATCACGCTATGCGAATTCTTTCCGCTTCGGCAAAGCGTGACAACTTACACAATACATAGACAGTAGATCACGCACTGATTTTAAATGCATCAAAAACCATATTGTGAGCCGAAATATTAGCGCCAGGTCATACAAAATTAAAGAGTTTAGCAATTCAAGAATTGACCACAGCATTATTGTATTTCCGTGGAATGTATAAGGTATTGATGTATTAGGAACTTGAGTTCAGGACGGAATTTATTTAGATCTTGAGAGTGGAACATTGTGAACGAGATCGTGAAGGAGGAATAAACGCATTTATTGGATACATACAGTCCTCTTGATTGGAACCAACGTTGTGAGTACCCTGGTCCCAGAGATTTTTCTTGATTTTTCTTCTTTTCGCGAAGCGGCGAGAAAGAAAAACCTCTGGTTACATTCGTCTTGTATCACTTCCATGCAGACGCCAGCTGTCAAACGCGTCAAATTGATAATTACAAAAGGGACCAGTGGCAACTTCGCAATCACGTGCTTATCAGCCGCTAATGTTGCCACTCGGGTGGTGAAGAGCGTTATCACTTGACCTACTTGGCCGTGGTCAACGCGCGTGTTTGCAAGAATGTTTTCATCCGCAACGTGTTTGGTGAGACTTTCAGTCTCTGGAAAACGCTC